CTTAAAGGCAACGCCCGCGTTCAATTTGATGAGTTATGGGGCTCAGACAGTGACAACAAGGTAGCAAGTAATTCGTAAAGAAGAAATATGCAAAAAAATTATTGGATATGCCCTATATAGGACCCCACGCCGAGCTGAGGTTGTACGTGCTTGAGGCGAAGAGAAGGCGCGGCCGCACGAGTTCTCACTTGTTGGTATCAGCTGTTTTCCCTTATCACCTCACTCTCACCATTCGAAGTGGAGAGAGTTAGTAGCAGAACAACCGCACCATCAGGCAACCATTAGAAATGAAGTTGGGCGTAGTGGCCGACTCTTCACGAGCGGGCACCGCTATCTCTCGCATTTTTGAGTTGCGAAACTAGTACGTCCACCATCCTCATAGGGTGAGCTACGATATCCAAAGAGGGCGTGGGAACAACAAATGAAAGCGGACGCTGCCTTCAAGGGGGTCTGGCAAATATGCTCTAACGTTTGCTACCACTTTAACTTTTTCCTGCGCGGTCGAGTTTGAACACAGCAGTATGGGGATCCACTCTCAATGTCCAGCTAATGTTACACATGTATCAGAACACCGGACTGTTTCATCCAAGCTTAATTCCTCCTGTGAATTAAGGGAGAAGTCTTGCTGGAATTCTGCTCTGTGAACCCGTTAAGTGTTTCGAATTCCATTCGTACACAGGTTATTGAGTTCGATGGCTTTCAGTGCTGGAAGGTGCTAAGAAACCAAGCGAAGTTGTAGCTAAGCGATGGTTTTCTCCCACGTGTGCCTCGAAAAAAAATGCTAACAAAAAGGCAAAAAAAGAAGGGTCGTACCGAGCCACCTTAGGAGTGGAAGGTCGTATGGACTCGATCAAACCACCACGGCATGACGTGCCCTGTTGGGTTTGACTGTGGGTAGGTAGGGGTGCGACTTCCCACGCGGCAAAGCGTACAGATTGTGTAGGTGTCATTCGGCTGTTGCGATCCTCCAGCCCCGTTCCCGCGCACTTTGAAGCGGTTAAAGTGGCATGCTAGTGCAGCTGTGGAGCCACTTATCTCAAAGCGGAGGTGAGTGTTCAGTTGGTCTTCAAGGCAATACGACTAACTCCACGATTTCTCGCCTGACGTAAGCTTATTTCAGTCCTCTTCGCGATCATGGTCTTCCGCCCCGACCCGTTCTGCTAGTAAAGATTTGCCTCCAGAAATTGAAAAAGCAGTGGATGATTATGTCGAATATGTATTGTCAAAAGGTAGACATTTTGGAACGCACTCAAAAAAGAACTCGGAAGAACACCGCGCTCATCCTCTCAAATCAAAACATCACACCAGCAACCAGGATGATTCTACACTTTTCTAGCTATCACTCCCTATCATCTCCCATAAACCCTCTGTCAGCCTATTGGGCAGGCAGATAGAAGTACTCGAGACTCCTACAGAGCAACTCATCAGTTCAGTCATTTAGGCACTATGTGCCTCGGAAATACACCGTCCGCAATACTGCGTGAGCGATTCAGTAGCCTGTGGTATTTGGAGGACAAGGGAGGGGAAGGGAGCTCCGGGCTGGGCAAACCACCTGGCATGCTAAAGAGCTCCGGGCTGGGCAAACCACCTGGCATGCTAGAGCTTCCCTCGAAAGACCAAAGTCAACTAACTCCAGAACTCCAATCACTCTCAAATTTGAAGGCTATTACAACTCAAAATTGCGGAACAGCACTGTCGGGGCACTAGCGCCTAATCGAGGTGGTAGCATTCCACGTGAATCATTCCCTTGCTGGTATGCCCACTTTGCCTAATTAACTCAAAAATCATAGCAGCTTTTCAAAACTAATTTCACCTACACAGAGTGACTTGCGGGAGCACTTGATGTGCCGTCTTAAGCGCAAGTTCCTACGTTCTCAGGCTAGCCTGGGACCAACCAACTTCAGAAGCGGTCACGCTAGGCTGACTCGGGTGAGAGCCGAGAGAGGATTCGATTCAAGGAGTGTAGGTATTGTAAGTGGCGTTGCTTGCTAGTCCACCCTATCCGTCTACACCCACTTCTGTGTAATGAATGCTGAGCCATTATAAAAAATTGGAACTAGTACAAAACCACTTTCAGTGCAGAAGATTGCTCGGAAAAGCTAGTGAGTGTGGGCTTTGTGACAATTTCTTAGCGGAAAGATGTAAGGTAAAGGCGCAAAGAGGCTCCACCTGAGACGCTTCCTTCAAGGTCCGCTTTCCAGTGCGAAACGACCTTACCCGACGACCAGAATGAAATGGGAGCTCCATTCCATCTTTCGGGCTGTAAGGTTCCTTATAAGAAGCGCAAGCTAAACTACTCCCATTTCCGCCTTGTGCTGATTGCACGAGGCTAGAGCATTTCAGATGGAGACATTTCCTAGGTTTCTTGGCATCCTCTCTTCACTGATCAAACCCTCTGCAACTTCTTTCCCGTATTTTAACACCAACGACTACGCTTCACATAGCGAACAGTGCCTTTATTCAATTATGAGCCGAGCAGTGCAAAAAATAAGAAGAGCTCGGATTGGAAAAAAACACTCGAACTTGTGCGACGCATTGACAATGTGCTAGTGGGGTTCGTTAAATGCACTCATCAACATTTCAGGAGTGGATGGACTTAAAAATGAGTATAAAAGCCTACTAGCTTCAAGCAAAAGTCCAATTCAAAAATTTGACGCATTCCGGGAAAACTCGCAACGAAATCGCTATCGTGTAAGTATTCTCACTCTCTGGACTATGCATTCATCATGGTTGCAAAGCCGTCATTCAATACTGTCCAGGACGAGACTTGAATTCCCACAGAGAAGGCAGATGAAGTACGCAGCCACGCCCATCCTATCCTTGGGATATGGAGAGAACATTGAGTTTTAGCCATGATTTCCAATAGGCAACGTCAGAAATGGCTCGTTTTGCCGTGAATATCGAGGCTCGCGTTTCAGGGTTGAATGCTGTTGAGTGAATCAAGATGAGGCATAAAATTGAACATTGTGACTTCGCCGTCGCACCGCGCTTGTTCACCCTTTCGCTGCGCGGCCGCTGCGACGTCGCTTACGCGCGCGTGCATCACGGGAGAACGCCTACGGGACAAAGCACCACAGAATGCAGAGGCTTTGAAGGAAAGGACTCCGCATAATAAAAGAAGGTTCTGAGTTGCAGAGGCTGAAAACCGTCTGATGCGCGCAATGCACCTGTTATACATTGTTATAGGACGTTATTTGCTTGGATGCAACACGAGTACAACTAACCCATGATGTTCCACCAGCAACAGATTATATCCACGCAAACTGGGTGAAATTCGATAAGTTCGATCGGGTATACATTTTGACACAGGTATGGGACAGGTTTGTATGAAAAATTGAATTTCCTTTCGCAAAGTTTGTGAGTTTGCTGGCTCATGTAAGTTTAGATGTCTTTTGCAGGTTAAAGATATTCAGCAGAACCTGGTTGCAATATTCGCTGAATCCGCCCACGTTGGTCGACGGAGGGGCATTCGCTTTCAGTAAATGCTCCCGACCCTTCTGGGTAGCCTTTTCTCGAGTTGACACGTTTTAGGATGGTGGCTAGACGATCTTACTCCAGCTTCACAGGCGTTCACAAGTTTTACCATGGTGAGATTCGTAAACCGGAACTAGGGAAGCAATGTTAGTACAAAATGCCCCCCCCCGTCGCTAAACAGCGCCCCTGAACCTCATCAACCATGAAACCTTCCACTCGAGACTGTAGTCGGTAAAGGGCTAGCTGAGCGTTTCCTGGCAATAAACCTCCCCCCACCCCCCCTCCATTCAGAGTCGTTCACATAGAAAAGGGGTGTAGCAGGCTGCTTTGGTCGCAAGTGGCTAATGGCGAAGGAATAATGTTCATCAAATTATGCTTCGTCTGCCGAAATGTTTGCTAAGAAGGCAATCGTGTCAAAACATTAGCTAAGTAAAGCTTTTTCAAGGCCTGTAGGATTACACCTTAAAACAAGATTGCTATAGTACGGCAAAAAAAAGATAGATAAAGGGTGATTCAAAGTTAAGTTCAAGCTGAGATCAGAAAAGGAAAGATGTAATGGGGAGATATATACGGCATATCATTTTGAATAAGAAGGAAATCCTCGTGGAACCATGAAGTAGACATCTCATCAGCACACACCAAGTCCCAGCTTGTTTTTGTCAGCGTGTACTGAAGTAGAAAAGAACAGCGCCAAGCTGTACATAAATTTGTAAGATCATCTGTACTGAAGATTTGCGGTTCGTTCAGTGCACAATGTGGAAGATTTGCGGTTCGTTCAATGCACAATGCGTTACAGGCTCCTCTCACGAACACTATCGGCGACTTCTGGCGGATGGTGGTGCAATGTCAAAGTCCCAGTATCGTGAATTTGACTCAGGTAAGGTAACACAATTTCTGTGTCGAGTTGTTCGGTCCCTCTATTTCAGCCCTTTACCTTCTATGTAGTCGCCGGCTCTGTCTTTAAGATTAGAAACCAAGTAACTCAGAGCAGATGCTTCATTCTCCTTTCAGGATATTGAAAACGAAAATCTGAAATGTGTGATGTATTGGCCACAGCATGCTGGAAGTTTTAATACGTATGATAAAATCTTCGTCAATACAAAAAGGGTCAGTTGTTCAACCTGGACCTTTGAAGGCTGTTCTCTTATATTCGGAGAGCGCTTCTCGAAAGCATTCCGGAGATGCAGCAAGTTCGCACAACTCCCGTACTGGTTTCCAATTTAATCTTGGTAAGAGTGACTTTCAATGGAGAGGTCGGTCTAGAACAAGCATTCAGGACGCTACAACGGTGGTTCAACGGTTTAGTAGAAGCAAGATCCATAAAGGCGGCGAGCTCTGAAGGATCCTGCTTCTGAAGTGAAGATGTGACTCGAGACGGTTCTTGCGAGTCTCATGCCCCAGATTGGGGTCGCACGAATCAAATGAGAGCTTGAAATGTCGTCCTTTTGACGAGTTGTTAGCTCATCTTCTTGTCTCTCCTTCGAATCCCAACGAGAGCTCAGAACTGGATCCTGTATGCCAATCGACCATGTTAGTCATTGGACCAAAGTGCGACTCAAATATATCTCTTTGTCGAAGTAGCTGCAAAAACAGAGGTTGCGAGAGCGGTTTGCAGCTCTGTCACCCGTCCGGTCACGGCACCTTCATGGAACAGAGAAAGAAAAGTATTATCATCAGTCTGATACGTGCCTTGCAGCCTGCAGCTCATAAGTCT